AGTACTGATTATGGCATGATCAGTAGCGGGAGTTCACTTAGGGATTGGGAGTAGAGAAAATCTATTTAGTAATTAGGCTATCCACCGGTGCACGGGGGTATAACCTTATCCCATAATTTATTGAGGGACTGTCTTATAGTTTGTTGAGGGATTAGAACCTAGTTATCTTCACCGATTCAATGAGAAAAATAGCCTAGGGTATGAGACACCCCAAGAATTTGAGAATGGGGAAAGCCGTAGTTCAAAAGTAAGTCCTGTGATCTTTAATCAAGTCACATCTCACGATTAATGAGCTTGGATAGTCTGGTCATACGGACGGAGCTCTAATCAGTATTATAGTCTACAATTTCAATCTGAGAAAATAAAGAGGATATAAAATTGGTTGATCATTGTCTAAGTAAATATATGATGTGTCACGTGTGTTAAGTGGTGGCAAGTCACTTGAATAATGGGTCAAAGTCACATATCTAAAAATATGGTGACAATGCACCTAGTATATGTGAATTAAAGAAATTATTAAATGATAAATGAAAAATTATAATATATGTGAGCTTGTTTTACATACTTGATTTCTTATGTATGTACTTGATTTATAATTGATATATAACTATATAAGATAAGTTTTACCTTAATTACTGAGTGGCTAGACTTACCCCTTTCATCTAATATTTTTCAGGCTTTAGCTCTGGTGCTGAGAGGGAGAACATTCAGGAGGTTAGGAATTAGCATATTCCTACTATATGCCTCTAGTTTAGATTTATTTATGTAATAGTATATGATTTGTCAATTTTAGGATGCATGCCATCACACTTGCACTGTTTTGTTGTTGAAAATGTTAGATTTATATTTTGAGCCCTTAGTCTCTGTGTATGTTAATATATATATATATATATATATATATTTATAGGGCTAAAATATTAGTGTAAATGTAAAAATAATGATCTGAACATGTTTTGAATGATTTGGGCAGAATGCAATGACAATTTACCTCCCTCTCTGTTTTTGATAAAATGGGATTAAGGAGTGAATTTTTATTATACTATTGTTTTAGTACTTGTGATGTGTTGTACTGGTAGTCCTAGGTTTATTGGACATGATCCAGGTATTAGGAAAAGCTTTTAGTACTTGTTGAGGGTTTTGGACACCCATTTTGTGTGAAAGTTGTGAAAAGTAGTTATAATATGTTTGAGTGTTTGACTTCCTAGTGTGACTTGTCTTGAAAGTAAAATATGTACCATTAGCTAGTTCATATAGGGAGCTTTTCGTAGACATCTAAATCATGTCATTCGAATGTCGGACGGAGAACTTGAGCGCGTTGGAAATTTCCTAATTTTGTTATCAAATGACAGCATAATCAGTTGAATTTTTATGCAACATGCCGCGGCACATAGTGCCTGAGCCGTAGCGCGTGGCACAAAGAGTAACACGCTGCAGCACACTACTTTGTCACACATTAAGTGAGTTGTTTTTCACTTGTTTTCAGTTTCTTTAACTCCTTTGAAGTATGACATGCTTTCAAAACTTATTTTTACTTTAATATAAAGGATTTTGATGAATTTGAACTCATCGTCATTTAGAAAACTTGAAATCCTTTGCTTTTGAAATAAACCTTGGTAATCACTCATTGAGTTAATCTTTTGATTACCATGAGTTTTATTAGTTAATTGGGTTTAGTGGAGTGAGAATATTTCAACTTAGATTTTCTTTAGTAGCATAGTTGATAAAATAAATTGAATTACACTACATAATTTATGTTATTTTTTGCAGCAAGCAAATCCACCAGAAAGGGCAACCATTCAACTGCATAACATGGGAAGAATAAAAATTAGTAGAAGGTACTGGCATGTATGTCACCTAGGAAAGTAGTCAAGCAAAAAAAGTAAATTAAGATTATTTTATTTATATATGTATGTTTTCATAAATCTTCATATCATTAAATGTAAGTTAGGATTCTTGTGTGGCCGTGTAATATAGCTTATGTTGTCAAGGGATATAAAAACATGTTATTGTTTAATTATAAATGAATTTGTTGATGGTCAATTGTTTTTCTTTTGTGCTTTAAGTTAGTGTGACTAAGATTTATAGATGACAATAGTGCCTATTTAGAATATTCGTTAGTATTTTCATAAAGAATGAGAAATTTTTTACAATATTTATTTGTATTTTTAGAATATCTTTTGATATTTTGATAAAAATGAGAAATTTTTAGAATATGCTTAATATAACCATGTAAGGTGCATTTTATGTAAAATTTTGGCACTAAGGCTTTTTTTTTCAAAATATGCAAAAAGTATATTCGAATACAAGGGATTACTTTTTATTTATAATACTTGGTTTTCAAAACGTGAAAAATATGTTTCCATAAAAAAAAGAGAAAAATTTTTAGAATATCACAAAAGGCTGAAATTTCAAGTGATGAAGGTTATGTTTCACTTCTAATTTTTGTTTTATTGGAATATCACATAAGGATATCCCTAAAATTGTCATATTTCACTTTTGATTCATATATTCAAATATACAAAATGCATATTCTAAAAAAAAAAAAAAGTCTTAGTGTTATAGCTTTACATTGAATGTAAGCACCTTCAACCACATAAAACATTTCTTCCACCATGTGCATGAAATCTTTAAGGTCATGCAATTTATCTTCCACATATTCAAATATGCAAAATGCATATTTGAACAAAAAAATGTCTTAATGTCAAATTTTTACATTGAATGCAAGTACCTTCAGCCATGTGCAATATTTATTCTACCATAAGTGTGAAATCTTCAAAGAAATACAACTTATCTTCCACATATTCAAATATGTAAAATGCATATTTTGAAAAAAAATGTATCTATAAGAGATATTGACATTGGATATTCGAATATGCATAAACGATATTTAAATATATGAAAGAAAATTACATTCTATTGAAGATCAATCATATATCATGGAAGAAATATTGCATATATTTTCAAATGTATCCATAAGTGATATTTGAATATATGAAAGAAAATTGCATTCATTTGAAGATTAGCCACATATCATTAAAAAAAACATTGCATATGCTTTTAAAAATATCCATGAGAGATATTTATTAAGCGATATTCAAATATGCAAAAATACTATTTAAATGTGTGGAAGCTAGATTACATTTTCTTAAAGATTTGCACACATGGAAGAATAATTATATATGATTGAAACTAAATGGCATTTAATGTAAAAATTTGACGCCAAAACATAATTTTCAAGATTTGCAAATTGCTTATCTTGAAGACATGCAATTTGCATTTCCTAAAAATTGCATATTAACAATTTGACACAAGACATAGTTTTCAAGATATGCAATTATTGCATATTTTGAAAATTGCATTGTAGAAATTTAACACTAAGACATAATTTTCAAGATATGCAATTTGGGTATTTGAATGCATGCAAGCTAAATCCTATTTCCTTGACGAGTGTTCATATATCGCGAAAGACTTTGTTTTCTTAAGGATCTTACTTGACATATTGACACTGAAAAACCTTATTTGACATATTGATATTGAAGGATTTTGTTTGAAATATTGACATTGAAATTATTGACAATGAAAGACCTTGTGACATATTGACAGTGAAAGACCTTGTACGAAATATTGATAGCAAAGAACCTTACTTAACATTTATTTTTTTAATCATAAGAGCAATCTAGTCATTCGAAGCTTTGAATTAATGCTAACGAAAGATATCAAATAAGAATCTCTCTAAATATGGGAAGATTTTGGATAGAAAACTTTATTTTTAAATTTATCCACCAATTTTTTTTTTACCACATGTTGCTTACCTCTATTTTTTTCATGATATTTGTAGTGCAATTATATTTTGATTATGAACTTTTGTTAAACAAGTAATATATATAATTTTTAGACTAATTAAACAAAAATTAATTCTAAATTTTTAGGTTAATTTTTAGTTAAATACCTTATATTTGGTTGTAATTTTAAATGTTAAGATTATAATATATTTAACAATTTAATAAATAAAATTTTAAATTGAATAAATAATTTGTTGTTGGTATTGGATAAAATAATTTCTAATTATATTTTTGTTTAGACAATAATATATGATAAAAATTATTATTATATAATATATTAAAATATTAAATTATATCATATAAATATTTTTATAAATAATAGAGTTATTGTTGTCTATATAAAATTAATGACCTTTCTCTCTTCCTTATTTTCTCTAATTCAATCAAGCATAATGAGAAAAAATTACATCTCTTCACTTTTCTCTTATTTTTATTTTTTCTTATCATTTTCTCACATTTCTATTTTTTCCTGCAAGCCAACCATATCATAAGCGTGGAAGTAATGTTATGCCCAATGCTATGGATGTCTCGCCACCCATCTTTAAATATTATCGTTTAGCAGATGATTACCTTAATATTTTTGTATTGTATACTTTTTTTATTAAAAAATATAAAATATTTTTAATTAAATTTTATTATTAATAAAGTAGTTATTTATTTTTAAATTAATCATACCTTTTCATATTTATCCTTAATTAATAAAATATTTTACTCTAAAATAAATATAAAATAATTTATTCAATAAGGATACTTAAAAAAGTAATAATTACATTTTAAAAAATTAAAAATATTTTATATTTTTTAACACCTAATCTCTTAAAAAATATTTTATATTTTTAAATGATAGGAGTATATATTAATTTACTTTTTTTTTAAAAATAGTAATCATAATAATTACTTATTTTTCCTGGATATTCTTAGTTACACGGAGAGAGATAGCACCGCACTAATTTAATAAACATGAATGAGAAAGATTTTTTTTTTTAGAAATAGTTAATATATATTTTTCTTGGCCTGAAAATAGATATATTTAATGAGAGTAAATAATTTTAACTAATTTTCTGGATCAGTACGAGTCATTAAAGTTTGTGGGAGATATGACAGAGAAAATATTAATAATTAATAAATTAATCATAACATTTAATTTAATACGTAAAGTTCGCTGCTTTATGGCCAGAGTTGCTTACACTGGGAAGGAAGGGACATTCACTGCTTTCCATGGCTTCCTCCACATTTCTAACGTTTCCTCCGTGTCTTCTTTTCTGCATCGTCTCGCTTCACGGTAACAACACCAAAATTATCATCACCTGCGGTTCATTCCTTTCGTTTGAAGTTTGATTATCTGTTTTTCAAACTTCTATCTAATTCTTCTTCAAAAACCCCATTGATCAGTTTCGGGGAAGATCGTCCTTGAAGATGGCTATACGGTGACCACCGTCTTCGACGGTAACAAGCTCCAAGTCAACCCTCATGCGGTGCTTCAGCTTCCCGGCTCGTCCGATCTTCTTATCCTAGATACTTTCAACAGTGCTTTCTATACCGTACAGTTTCCCATATCTCAAGGTACCATCTTTCTTTTCTGTCTGAGGGTGTAAAGTTTTATCCTTTTTTCTTTCTGCATGACACTTTTTCGTTGGGTTCTTGCAGATAGTGTTGTCAAAAGGTTTTCTGGCTCTGGACAGGGATTTTCGGACGGTGATGTAGGTTCTGCTCAATTTAGGAAACCCAATAGCTTCGCTGCTGATTTAAATGGGAACGTGTATGTTGCTGATAGGTCCAACCACGCTATCAGAAAAATTAGCCGCTCTGGTATCCTAATGCGTGAATTCACGTCAATCAATATAAGCTTTTGTTACTTGATGATCCTATCTTCTGTTTGAAGTTTCTTTTTTCCCTTTCATTACTTGTATTATTTGTTTTTTCATCCATACGTTATATGTACACAGTAACGGCAAATGAAAATGGGGAGGACAGTAGATTTAGATTACATGCTTGCTTGAAAATAGCAACTATATCTTTAAAGAGATATGATTAAATGGGATAGAAAGAATGTGATGAAAGTGATCATGTGTTTAACTGCACTTGCATAATCTCTGGCATGAATAAAAAGGGCTGGGATTCAGGGAATTGGAAGCATCTTCGTGAGCTGTGATTTTAACTTTGCATAAACTGGTAAAATGCTTGTCTGGATCACTGAATCTAAGATAGACTTCTGATGCGTGTGTTATCAGCAGTTTATGGCATTCTTTCAATGTTTTTTGGATCCTTACTAGGTGTAACCACAATTGCGGGGGGTATTTCACATAAGGAAGGTAAAGAGGATGGGCCAGCACAAAATGCAACATTTTCAAATGATTTTGAGCTAGCATTTGTTCCTAGCGGATGCCTTTTACTGGTTTCTGATCATGGCAATCAGTTAGTTCGCCAGATTAATTTGAAGAAGGGAGACTGCACCCCTCCTCAATCAGGTGAGACTTTGAAGTTTGGAGCTTATAAGTTTCTCCTAGGGTGTGATACAGTCCTCTACTTTTCACGTTTTCATTCCCCTCTATTTCAAATTGGATTTTCTCTATTCATGTATTCGTGCATTTGGAGAAATAGTGATACAAAAAAAAAAAAAATGTCATTGCATCTCTCATCATTATACTCATCTATTTTTCCTCTCTATCAATCCTTAAAGGTACCCTCTCGGTTATTGTTATTATCATTTTTTTTTTAATCTTAAAGATCTGGATTACCTCTACTTACCACATTTTCTAAAGTTCCTTTTTTTGAAACTCATAAGTATTGAGTACTCAGTAAATCAGCATTTCTTCCTGTATTTTGTGTAACAACAAGCGACCTCTGAACCTTGTACCATGTTTTGTATAAAACCAAAATTACCCTTAGCCTGAAACATTTACAACCTCTTAGGCAGTGTGATACATGTCTGTACTTAAGATTATGTTGCGGTTAATGTTGCTGTCCATTATTTCTGGAGAAAATGAGGTCTAAGGATTCTAACTTAGTAAAATTGAGATTGAAGCCTTGAAGGATCTAAAAAACGAAAATTTTCAGGAGCAAAGGAACTAAATTTACCCTTGTAAGGACGGAAATACATCTTCTACCTTTGGGAAGTAGACATTATTTTTCATCCTTCCAAGTGTTACTTCTCATACTTATCAAGCCACTGCTCGTTTTCCATACAACAGATACTTATGTTTCTTGAAGTTATCAGTGTTTTGTGTTCGTTACTACTACTTGAGTCATTTACACTTGTATATTTTTGAAGTCATTATTCCTGCTTCTTGAAGTTACTCCTTATTCTTCTAACATAACCATTCACTCCTCCACTAGTTATTAGAGATTTTTTCTTTTTTTTCCATCCTTGCAAGGTAAAATTTAGGTCATCTGATCTTTCAAAGAAATTTCAAATCTTGAAGTCCTTTTATGTCAATGTTGCAGAGTTTGGGTCCTTACATGTCATTTTCCCTTACTTTTGACATTTCCAAGCAAGTGGATGGTATTACTCTGTCCGTACTCCATGCTTCCTTCGTTACTTTAAACTTCAAACCTGCACTGATTATCTTTTCTGAAGTGTTTATCTAAAAAGAAAATAAACATTATGAGCTTCTGCAGATATTTCCTCTATTGTGGATGACTAATTTAAAACAATTCATCCCCTTCTTTCCCTTCTAGAGGGCATGTTAATAGTTTTATATGACTATGTCTAGCTGAAACATTTACTTACCTTTCATCTGTCTAAGGGCCAGTTTGTTTAAGAGTAAAAAAAGTGATTTTAGTTGGGATAAACATGAGAAAGTTGCTGGGAGAATTTAAGCTGAACACGAGGCATGTGTTGAAAAAAGCTTATTTTGTTAACCTATTTGGAATAGCTTGTTAAAAAAAAAAGAAGAAGAAGAAGCTAAAAATAGATTTTTTTCCAGAAAACCTTCATGATTAGCTTAATATTCTTCTAACAACTCAAGTGTTAAACTTGACGAAAGTTACTTTTTCTTTGATTTTAAACAAACTGGCCCTAACTCTAGGTGTACTATAATTTAATTTGAATTTATGCTTGAAATTATTTCTTTTTCCCAGGGCTTGGTGCTGTTCCTGCTTGGGCTCTGGGTCTGGGATTTGGACTCCTATTCCTGGGTGTAATATATTTTGTTGCAGTCCGCCCTTGTATCAATTCTCGCGTAAGTCCAAAATTTTCAGAAAAAAATCTCTCTCAGCACGAACCAACTAGAGATAGACAAATCAACTGAATCATATAAATGAAATATAATTTCTTAAGTGGGACCTGCTTTCACCTTGCTTATATTCATCTTCATGATTGATTTTATGACCAACATATCTCTGAAGGCCATGTTTTCCCAAAAACCTCACAAGTTTTGACTTGATGAAGGAGGATAGCTGACTCCTTATCTAACTGAACTTTGTAGACAGAAAGGCTCCAGGGCCATCTTGAACACCGCGACATGGAAGCGCTGCCTAATCAATCTGGGGAAGATAGTAGTGATACACTGCTTCGCCGTAAAAAGCGCGAGTGTTAGCAGCATTATCTCTTCATTAGTCAGCTTCTTGAAGAAACTTTGGAGTTTGAGTGTCTCTCATCTGTTTCTTATGTTTAGAATAAACAGAGTAGCTTCTCCTAGACCTTGCAATGAACACCGGCCTCTGATAGATTTAGATTCCTGCAGTTGTGAGGTAACAGAGCCAAGCAAGTATGAAGATCAATTGAGAGACTTGGTTAGCGCAGACTGTGCTGGAGCTGATAACCTTAAAATGGATGATGACGTGGGCTTTGCAGAGACACCAAAAGATAGAGTTTTGCTGCAAGGATCGTCTGTGTGTAACTATGGTTTGGTGAAGAGGAAATGAAGGTTGTTTTTAAGTCAACTCTAGTCTTGTATTATGTAACTTGTTTGCATTAACTTGCTGCCTCGGACCTTTAGCTCAGAATTCTGCCAGTTGGATGCTTTCACTTCTCTTGAATTTAGTCTCGTGTTGAATGAGTCTATAAGTTAAGCTTTGATTTAAGAATACTTTTTAAACTAATTCGATGGTATTATAGTAATTTGATGCAGAGTTGGGATGATGTCTAATGAAAAGAACTCGGTATAAAATTGTTTAAAATGCTTAGGATATATGAAAAGAAGGCTGAGAGAGGCATCAATGAGGAGGACTGAACATATGATTGAATTCAATGAAGAAAGCGAGAAATTCAAGAAAAATGCTCAATGCAATTATCGAGCAAGACCTTTTGGTCAATTGTGTAATTCACGGAACTTATTGCACTGGTAGGTTAAGGTTTTGTATTTTAATCATCATTAGAAACGGTAATTTCTAACTATTTTAATTTTTATATATAATAAAATAATTCTAACAAATTGCACTCTTCCAAGTCGTGAATAATTGAATAGGGTATTCCATTTTTAGATTCTAAATTTGTGAAATTCTCATCAGCTAATTAAATGAAGTTACAGAAATATCTAAAAAAAAATTGATTTTGATAGATTTATTAAATTTTTGGGATAATGCAAATTTTAGCCTCTAATGTTTTGCATGAGTTATCCATTTAATCCTTCATGTTTAATATTTAATTCAGTCCTTTATATTTTATAAAATATCTAAGCAATCATCAACTTTTAAATTGAAATAATGATGAGATGGCTAACAGAATTATGATGTGGCAGCCACATAGATTAAAATAAAAAAAATAAAAAACATAGAACTGATGACATGGATAAGGCCCAACAAAAAAAAAAACAAAATATACTCCCTCTATTTCTATTTATAAAAAAAATGTATAACGTAATTTAAAAAAATTGATTAATTATATCAATTGTGTTTAAAAATAAAAAAATTTGACTATATTTATTAATTATATTAATCAAGCCTTCATTAAAAAAACAAACTATAAGTAATTTAGGAAGTTTGTAATAAATATTTATTAAAAAATGTAGTTTTACTTATTTAAAAAAAAAACTAAAAGTAATGGTTTCTACTGTAAATAAAAACGGAGTGAGTGAGAAGAAATTAAATTATGCAACCCAAAACGCAGCGTCCCCTCTGCTAAAGGGGCCGACGTCTCTTTGCTGTCGCCATCGCCTGAAGAGTAATCACTTACTTAGCCTTTGATCCTTCTTCAGTTAAACTTTGTCGTCCTTGCCAACAACTATTCAAGGCGTTCAGGAGTACTGAGAAGTGCTTGCTTCACAGTTGCTTGAAACAGCCGTGCCATGCATGCCCTTGATTGCGCATCATATTTAAGAGATGGAAGTATCCGTTCCCGTGAAGCGAGATTCCATTATCATCATGTCCTTGCCTATCCTCATCATCCCCATCCACGAGTGGCTTGACATCATTTGTTGCTATACCTCCTGCCTTGAGCCTATATGCCTATGCCAAGTACCGTTTCTAATTGTTCCCAAGGAGCTGCTCAAGGGACCAAACTAGATCCCACTGATCTTAATTATATAATTAAGAGGAGCTCTATGGTCAATTAAGAACTATGCAAATATAACAATCCAAGCTGAACCATCAACGCTAACACTGTATATTTAGAGAGAAACGCTGCCGTCTCACACCGTCACAATCTGCGTCGTTGTTAGAGTCCGTAGTTCACCCCCCTGTGTTGTCGTTATAGTCTTATTGCAACTTTGTCGTCGTCGTCAAACACCGTTGCCACTGCTTAGTGATCGCGTTTCACCGCTGTTTGCTGTCGTTGCCACTGCTTCGTGAACTGCTTCACTGATAGTTGTTATCATGTGTTGCCCTTTTTTAAAATACCCAAGGAAAATTGAAATTAGAAAATAAGAACTAAAAAAAAATGATATGATTTCATTTATCCATGTGTAAATTCCATATCAGTAATATAATTTATACATCAGCTTCCTTTAATTAGCATTTTAAAAATTTAAAGGATTAACACAGTAACTGAGAAAACCTTTAAGGATTAAATTGATAAATATTAAACTTGGAAGATTAAATTAATAATTCATGCAAGCAAAAGGGATTAAAATTTGCATTATCTCAATTTTTAATTAGGTTTTCCTATTTAGCTTTACTTTTTATTTATAAGAATTTCTATCTTCTTATTGAACACTAAAAGTTTCAAACATTAACGCTTGTTTTTAATTTAATTTTCTGTTCATTTATTATTTAGATTTTCCATCACGTCATTTCCCCTCAACTCTACAGATTTATTTTATTTAAATTTAAAATGTAAAAAACTAGAGTGCATTAAAAAAAAAGTCTTGCTTTTAATGAATATATATATATATATATATATTTTTTTTTTGTCAAAGAATATATATATACATATATTTGTAATGATAATGATAACTACATATGTATATGTAACAATTTATAGGTCATACTATTTACTATTATTTATGAATAGTAAAATTCACATGCTAATTAATAAAATTTTTTTAAATTTTTTAAATTTTGAAATTGATAGAAATAAGTAGCAAGAAATTAAATTACTTTGGTGACAAATTAAAAAGAATTATTGTGGAACCCAGCCATAAAAGAAGCACATATAGTCATAATCATATCATTACATACATGGGAAAAAAACAATAGATATAAATGAACGGGTCCAAAGTCCAAACAAGTCACATCGGAATAGATTTTCTTTAGAAAATTGTAGCCACTTGCAGGTGAGTGGGGTGGAAATTTAGGGCTGATACACCCAGGTCGGGGTCGGATGACACGTTAGCACTACAATCCATAATCAATCATATCTTCCCACAACTTCCCCGAGCCAGTCCTCATCATAATAATGTGCAGCGGATTGTAATCTTCACTCACCAATAATTATTTAAAAGTTCATAAAAATCAAACAATAAAAGTAACTCTAATATAATCTCTGTTTCATAGATTTATGAACTTGACAACATCATCACAGAAGAAAAAGGATTCCAAAATTTCCTGATCCCACCCTCAGAGATTGCCAGGTTGTCCACACCCCTTGATTGACCCAACTATTTGGCAAAACTGCGAGTAAACAATTCACAGTACGAGGATGAGCTCTCCTTACTAACCTCCCGTTACACTAACTGTACTTTATATCCTCCTCTTACCTCCTCCTCCTATTCAATCAAGCTGGAACTCAGTCTTACAATGCTCTTAAACTTCCTAGTGTATATATACTTAATACCTGGGGGCATATCCCGTGTAGTTAATTCTGGATCGAATGTTGTGATGATCATACAATGATTCGCCATAATTCACAGGCTTAATTACCACGGATTCCTTCTTCCCATTTTGCTCCTGCACAGCCCCAAATACAATCTCGTTTGTTGTCTCATTGCTTGCTCATAGTAGGTATGAGGGATTGATGACCGGTACTCATGGCGATGATGATGTTTCTGTTGCTGCTGGTGCTGTTGATGGTGCTGCTGCTGCTGCTGCTGAATATCTCCATCCCATCCGCTAAAGAAAGCTCGGCTTTGCCGAAGTTGTTGCATTTTTTCAGCATCCTTGGACATGAAAGGATAGGTTTTTCGAGGGGTTGGGGCTCTGGTGTCAATGGAAGGTGGCTCGTCTTCATCTGGAATCACGAAACTTTCCTGCACAGGCCAAGCATTTGGGTGCTTCTGGGGTGATGGAGCACTGGTTGACCCTGAAATTGGTACGTCGCTGGTTTTCTTCTAAAACCAGGAAATAATCCTCCCATGATCTCCACCATTGATGCCCCAGCATTGGCAAGAAGCTTCCCCAGAGATCCAAAGAAACCTTCTTCTTGCTTCTCGGTTTCATTTTCAGATGGGATTAAAGGAGGCCTGACAGATTTCAATGGCTTCTTGTATGGACTTGGAGAAATTCCGGACATTGTTGGACTTCGATCCTACAAGAGCAAAAACATGAAATCATTAATGGTAGACGTGTTTTGTCTTTAAGAAAATATTCAAGGAAGATTTGATTATGAAGTTTCTGAATATTGAAGGTGGTCTAGATCTTCACTGTACATCTGCAGCACTGTGATGCTATATGGTTACCTCATTGTGAAAGGTATCGCACAGTTAAGAAATGATCACCTTAAAGATATAACAAGATTTCCGATTGAAATAACAAACTCATTTTATTGAAACAGCATATCTTAAAACATTTCACCCACAAGCCTCATCCCACTTTCTGGACATCTAATTCATTTAATTTTAATTTAGTTAATTTAGTATTACCATGAAGAATTACACTCATTTAGCATCCATTAGGTTATTCACATGAAGAATTGTAAGGCACCAAAAGTGAGATTCAAGAGCTAAAGAACTCACATCCTGGGATGCTACAATTGTACCAAGCCTGCGCTGCAGCAATGCCAACATATAGCCAAAGAAGCCAGCCCCAACAAGCATGGCAATCCCTATAATATTGAAAGCAACCGATTTTAATTTCTTGTTACCAGAACTAGAATTTCTCAGAGATAGAACGTGGGCTGATTTAGTTTACCTAGTGGAAATCCACTTCCATATTGATAAGCACAATCATCAAAATGGAGCTGAATCTCCCTGATGGCTTGGTTTCCTCTGTCTATGACAAGCAGAGAACAACTGCTTCCAACATAAACCACATCAAAGTCATTGGAAAACTTAGCTTCTTCACTTGGCCCATCAACATGGCCTCCTCCACGGCTCCATTTCCCTCCAGCAATTGTTGTTACCCCTGCAGATAAAGATCTTAATAGAAAGTTCGTACCTGACTCAACTCTCAAAAAGTACATACAATTTTAATCATGCATTGTCATGCTCAAAAACGTATATACAACTAAAAAGCCTGATGAGAGGATGCATACACACAAAGCATGTTAGTATGTCATCTAAAATTTCTAGAAAAGGAAACTCAGTTCATTGTTATCGGTGGCCATCTTCAAATTGAAGGGGCCTCACAGGCATCTCATGCATTGCCATACTCAAAAAGAGACCCAACAAGGGGAAGGGATCAAAACATTATTCCAAGTATTGACCAAATGTCTACCTGAATCGCTGATTTTCCTAATTGCCATATTCATAGTGTCCGCAACATAGATATTTCCTCGATCATCAACTGTTATTCCCTTTGGGTGGTTCATCCTTGCCTCCCTGACCTTCCCATCAACATGTCCAGAGTATCCTTCAGCAGATCCTGCTACCAGCCTCGGTCTACTATCTGCAGAATTGATATGAGCATGATATACTCGAAGCAAAGAAAATCTACACTAATAATCAGTTCACGTGCCAGAGTAATTTACCAATAAGCCAAGTCCCATAGAATTACACAATTATATGTTATGTCATCATAAAGCTCATAAGCATGAATTAGATACATAAGGTCATATTTGATACGTAGGAACAAAGAAATGTAAATGATACAATATTAGATGCACATTGTCCTTTTAATTGTAGGTTTTCTTTCCAAGTGGGAGGAGGGGAAGAGGCAGTCACCACATTGGCTTTTCTGTTGATCAATGAAACAATGATGCAATATGATCAGAAAAGTTGCAGAATTTAGATGCCTAAACTGATTGAACGAAGCATGTAGGAATCAGATTTTAATCAGTAGGAATCAGCTTATGGTAGATTTTAATCAGGTAACTTTATCAAGTAATTAGTTGGCACTTGTATATAGCAGTCTCAGAGTTACAAATAAAAGATTGCAGCCTGAGTAGAAAAATTACACATTTGCAGGAAATGCGAGAGTAGTGCTGTGGTGACCTCCAATAAAGAAGAAATACAACTTGGCCAGGATTTTCCTGGCTGAAAGAACAAGTTCAGAGACTGATAAGTTCCAAATTCAGAGTAAGTTTAGTTCTATGTAGACAATAATCAACGGAGTACAATGTAAGGAAGGAATCAGACGGAGGAGAAGCTAGATATGCGCAAACTCTTGAAACTAAACGTCATGGCTCTCTAATTAGGGAAAAGAGGTCGTTTGGTTTTATCGCTGACAGAATCAGTAACATTGACCAAAAAAATTAGTGAACTTGGGCAATTTTAGTCAAGAATGATAAGCGATCACACTCGACACACTTACACAAGGAGAGTGAAGAGGAAATCCTGTAAATGTTGCTATTAGCTGAATCTAGAATCAGAAGCTCTCCATTGGGTAGCAGCTCAACAGCATAAGGCTCGATTCCAAGCTTGCTTCCATCAAACACGGTCTCGACAGTGTATCCACCCTCGAACTTCATCATCGGCCGACCAGAAACCGCTGCCCAGAGAATTAACAATCAAATCGGCATTTCAGTTACTATCAACAATCACCGGTAGCTTTGAGACAACCATTTCGTGAAAGCAGGACAGCATTTGAGAGAAACCCAGTAACAATCTCTGAAGCAGAAATGCAAAGCCGAAGTTAACCAAAGTTCGAGCTCAAAAGCAAGAGTTAGTGAAATGTAAGAAGCCACAACACAGGTGACAGACTTAGCAGGCACAGCATTTGAGAGAAACCCAGTAACAATCTCTGAAGAAAACAGAAATGCAAAGCCGAAGTTAACCAAAGTTCGAGCTCAAAAGCAAGAGTTAGTGAAATGTAAGAAGCCTACAACACAGGTGACAGACTTACTCGCAGGGGAAGTAGTAGAAGCCGCGGATGAGAGGCCGGCACATAGAACCAGAACCGTAAGACCCAAGACAGACAGATTCCTACCCATTGATTCAATAGCGAAATGAAGCACGGAGGCGTAGCTTGGAAGCAGGGAAATGCAAGCTCTTAACAATGACGTAAACCCTAATTCATAGCTGAAGGAGAGAAAGCAGAATGGTTTTTTCGGGGTTGGGATGGTAAGCTGTGGATGTGTGCGGAGTGAATGGTGAGAATGGGGGAAAGGCAAAAGAGACAAGAAAAGGAAGCCAAAAAGAAAGATGGGAAAAAGCATGAGAGCGCGCCAGTGGGCCTGTGTCGGGAGAGAGAATCGTATACCGCCATTAATGTCTTAAATTTGATTTCATTTCTCTAATTTAATTATTAGAGAAAATACAATTATTCATCACAATATTTTACCACTTTTACTTTCAGTGCCTATAATTTATTTTCAATGTTTTCGATATTTTCTTTTTTTTCTAATTGTTTTCAATGTTTTTCATTCTTATAATTTTTTATAATTTAATATTATTAAAAATTTAAGTAATAAACGTCATTTATATCATTGAAACTACAAATTAAAAATATTTAAAAAATTATAATAATTAAAAAATAAAATTTAATAAAATTATAAAAATAGTGATTATATTTTTCCTATATTATTATTAACAATTAAAAATTTTATATAAACAAGGATGCAAATATTACTAATTTAAAAATATTAATACTCCATTCATTAAAAAATATAAAATTTTTTAGAAGAGTAAGATGTTCAAAAAGTAGTGTTTCAATATATAATTGATGTATTTATTTTCAAAACCGCCCTTGATAAAATATCATTAATGTTTATTTTCAGTGAGATATTTATTAAATAATAATAAATATAAAACAATAGAGTTAATTTAAAAATAATTAATTAATTTATAATAGGGTGATATGGTTAAAAAATATTTAAATTTTTTATATAAATGAGAAATATATACTTTTTTTATTTCAAAATATAAGCTATTTTTTAAAAAGTTGGATATTAAAAACTGTAAGGTATTTTTAACTTTTTAATGTATAATTATTATTTTTTTAAAGTGTCTTTATTGATAGTAATTTTATATTTATTATAGGATGTTTAATAGAAAAATATAAAAAGATAAAATTTATTTAAAGTAAGTAATCACTTTATTAAAATAAAATTTTATTTAAAAATATATTACATTTTTAAATGAGGAGGATATGTATATACATGTGCGCATGCAGTAAAATTGAAAATCTTAACTAAGAACTTAAAAAAAAAAAAAAGTCTAAGTGATATGTAAAAACCGTTTTTTTTTACTTTCAAATATGATCTTTGTTGGATGTCTCCTTGGAAAATGCATTTAATAATAATTTTAAATTCTTTATAGTTAGAGTATCTTTTTAAGGAAAAAAATATTGATCATGTCTAGAAGAATTGACATTTATGTTTAAAAATAAAATAAATTATTTTGCGCAACACTTTTCAAAACGAATCGCCTCTTCAATGCCTCTTTAATATCTTTTCTCTTTAATTATTGAAAAAAAATTATTTTATTTATTTTATTATTTTATTTTATTTTAAAATGGTTCAATTTATTGTAGATAAACAGTTCCGCTACAGTAATTAAATCATATTTAATATTCTAAAATGAGATGTTCTAGAATTATGTACATGGTGGTGGTTATTATTATTTCAAGGTTTAAAGTATATTTTTAATTCTAAAATTTTATGTAAAATTTTAATTTAATCTCTTAATTTTATATAATATTTTTAATAAAATTATAATATTTTTAGTCATTCAACCCTAACACCATTAAGTTTAAATGATAATTTTTGGTATTAATTATTGTTATTTTAAAAAAATTAAAATTAATATGTTAATATTTAAAAATATTTTGTTAATATTTAAAATTTAATATAAAAATTTGTTAGAATAAAATTAATGATGTTAAGATATAAAATAAAAAGATACTTTATAAAATTAAGAGATTAAAATAAAATTTTATATAAAATAAATGATTAAATGTAAACATTAGTCTATTTTAAGCCGCTGAAGTGTCTTCAGCTTCATACTGCGGTCAAAATACCGTTTTGACATTTATTTTATTTTATTTTTAATTATATATAGGAGAAGTACAAGTTGTGGGTGGCTCACTGTTACGTCATAGTAACAAAGAACATATAAAAAATGTTAATATGTAAAATAATAATATAAAAAAAAAACAATTTTTTCGTTAAGAAAAAATAAAATAAATTGTTTCTTATGTTTTAAAATACATAAAAATAATAAATTTGTTTATTAAAATAATTTCTAATACACACAGTATACATATGATAATATATTTTAGAATAAGCTATGTCATAGGATAACACATTAAAATATAACAAATTGATATGTAGACTAAAAATTACACAGGTAATGTACACACGCGTATAAATTGGTATTTAATAATTTTTTTGAGATAATAATAAATTTAAATAAAATAATTCTTTGCTTACATTTTTAACATATAAAGGGTAATAAAAGATATAGCTATTTATATTTTGATTGTTATAATTATTTATTTTCGTGAAGAATAAAAATATATAGTTATTCATGTTTTTAAATTTTGTAATTATTTATTTGTTATTACTTATATAATTCTTTTTTTATGTTCCAACATTGTCATTTAGTCTAAAAAATCACGTCAGTGTTTACTTTATATTTAACTTTTTATTGATTTTATCATATATTTAGTTGGGGTAAATGATGGGGAAGGATGATTTTAATGAATTGAATTCTTTAAACAGGAAAAAAAAAAGTGAAGTTCAGAATTTTTAATTATTTACTTACCCTTTCTATTTTTTTGATACGTTACTTAGCCTTTCTATCTACATCCTATCTATATTAAAAAAATTAATTTGTAAAAATCAAACTTATTAAAATCTTTTCCCCTCCACATTCCCCTAATTAGAGGGAGAGTCAATGTCTTTGTCCGTCGCATGAGTGTAAATTAAAACATATTTTTATTTATATTCTTTTAATTTGTGTCGGTAGTAAATTTTGGAATAAAATATGTTATTTAAGTTTTTAATGTATATGAGATATTTCATTTTAACATATTTTTTTATTCATATATTTTCTATGTTAATCTTAAATTTTAGGTAACTCATAATACACAGAATACATAAGTACAATAAAATATAAAATAAAATACGTGATTTAAGTTTTTAATATGCATGAAATGAAAAATTACACTCTCTCCATTTATATTTTTTTTAAGCGTTGAATGTATTTTTAGTGTTTTTTTAGTGTTTCAAATGTAATGAATGCTTTGTTAAAAAAAAACTACTCATGATAAATAAATCATATTATATTTATTTTAAAATAAAATATTTTATTAAATAATAAATATATAAAGATAAAAAATATTTTTATTTTTTTTAACGAAGTGAGTATATGAGAATAAAAAATAGTTGTTTAATTTATATTTTTAATATGCATAGGTAGCAAATTTTAAAATAAATCAATTTGTTCATATAATATGAAAGAAACATATTCTCATACTCTTTTTTTTTTTTTAGGAGAATGGAAGGGAGACCATGAAAATTTTAAGGACAAATTACATTTGAATCTCACATAAAAGATTTAATTTTCAAAAAGTTTCATCAAAAGTGAAAAAAAAAACTTTTAAATATCAAATTCCATATAGTTACAACTTGACAAATGATATTTACAACTTGATAGTATAAATTATTTTTTTTTACAAGTTGAAAATACCATTTGCTAAATTATAAATATACAGAATTTAAGACTTAAAAATATTTTATATATTTTATGAGATCTTTTAATAATTAAATATCTTCTGTGACAAATAATGATAATTTTTTCAAATTTTAATGAGTTCCGTCAACGAAAAAATAAAAATGAGGTTAAAAGTTTTATTATTTTCCTGTCATTTTTTCTCTTACCATTTTTTCTCTACTAAAATTTTATAATACTACCTATTTTTCCATCTTTTTTAATCAAGTCATTAAAATATCTCCTTAATTCTTTTCACATCTACTTTGTAACAAATTATTATATAGATAAGTGGGTTTGTAATTTTAAAGTAATTTTGCTCACTTCTCACTTTAACATTTTATCTATATTAAAAAAATTAACTTTGTATTTTTTTTAGAAATTGAACTCATTAAAATTTTCTCTCATGTTCATTTATATTCCCTCTATCCCAAATTGTAAAACAATTTTGGAAAAATTTCATTGTCCAAAAATATAAGATAATTTGAAAAAAAATAAAATTTTATTAATTATATTTTGGAAAGACATAAATTTGGATCCCTGCAGTTCACTTGAATTTTTTATAGGTCTTTACATTTTTTTTCAGTATTCTAGGTTTTAGGTAAGAATCTTGAATACTAAAAAAAAAGTGTAGAGACTTATAGTAGAACTCGAGTGAATTGTAAGGACCCAAAGTTATATTTTTCTTATATTTTTTAATAAAAAATATTAATTTTTTAATCCTTTAACTTTTAACTCAATCACTCAATTATGATTCGATACGACTCAATTCCTTCAACTTTGACTTGCGTATGACTCAGTCCCTACTTTTGATTCATCTATGATTTAGTTTCTCCACTTGTATTAATTCTCATTCTTCATGTTAACCTAAATTTCATATCAAAGGGCAAGATGAAAGTATTTTAGAGCAACAATATATGAGCATTTCTTTTATCTCTTTTATTTAATAACGATAATTTAAAAAAATTAAAAAATAAGGACTGATTTATAAATGAGTCAAAAGTTGAGGGATTGAGTCGCAATGAATCATAATTAAAAGACTAAATTACAAAAGGGTTAAAAGTTGAAAGATTAAAAGATTAATTTTTTTAATACTGCCTTTTAAGTGAAAGAAAATTTAAATGATATTACAATGCAGTGATTAAATATGTAGGGGCTTTTTCGAAACTTTGTAATTCTTTTTTGAAAAAACAAATTTATAAAGTATTATTATTGTGTTTTATTAATATGTGTAATCTTATATTAAGTTATTTTATAATTTAAAATAAAAAGAAACATTAAGCGAGAGTTGATATCCCATGCATCATATAGGTATAAAATCTAGTGATAAAAAAGATTATGAATTTTATCATGAAAGATTGGACGTCTTCGATCACATGTGGAGAGAAACTAATAGATATGTCAATTTGCTCACCTGCCAAGCATCCTATGACAGTCTAGATTTTATGGTTTTTAGCAATCCACCACCAGGTATAGAAACCTTGAGTTCTGATATAACCTAGTTGTGTTTACTTGCATAAATTCTTCGTAGCCCTGTACTAAAAAAATAAAATAAAAATCTAAAATTTGAGGTTTATAAATAGGTAGGGCAAGGGGAAGTATATTCATTCCACACAAAATGTTGTAACAAAGTATTAGATAGTTTTTAGCAAATAATTCATTTTTAAAATTTTAATCCAACTATATATAAATACAACTGAGGAAGACTTAATATATCATCATATAGAATACACACACATATTGAAGTTGTGAGAAATCACATTAAATTACAAAGAGTAACTTCAATCTTGAACTGCGTGATATTTTTAATAAGCAAGGATGGATAAGCAAGGGCAGATTTAGAAATTTTTATTAGAGGGAGTCAAAATGATAAAGTATATATAACAATTAAAAAAGTTATATATATATATATATATATCACCGACATAATATAAATTTTTTAACGTATATATTTATATTCAATTTACCAATATATATACACACACATATTAAGTTTTACTCATTGACTTTTTGTGATATGAAAATCATTAATTATTATGTCCATGACAAATGTTTTAGCACTTTCCTTTGAAAATAAATTATTATTAAATTGATGAAAATTTTATCATCTCTATAAAATTAAATGATTTAAATACATTATTAAAATATAAAGTTTTGTTCAATATAATAAATTATATTGCTTACTTATTGAATTTACTATTTAATTCTTTCAATTGACAATCATAGTAGATAAATATATCAACACATTAATAATACTCATTTGTCATAAAATTTTTATGTCAATGATGAGATTGAATCATATCAGAGTAAAAATTATTCATATCATAAATTTCAATAGGTTGATTATTTAAAAAATAATTTTTTTCTAGAAGAACATCTTCATTAAACCTCTTAATTTTTAGATAAGTGATTTTATGATAGATATTAAACACATAGTATTCAATATATCTTAAAATTTTTGTTGCAATACTTAACAGAGTTTGTTAATAATAATTCTCATAATTTCTTTCATTAAATATAAAATGAAAGCAAAATAAAATGACACAAATACTTTAAGAGCATGTATAATGTTATCTTGCTGAAAATAAGTAAATTTTATAACAACTATATCTTCAAGCTACTAAAATAGTTGCTTTATGCATACATAAAAGATTACGTATAGAATTGAAATAAAAATTTCATCTAATATTTCATAACTTCTATAATTGCAAACTTATGAAAGTTGAAAATATATAACTTTTACATTTTACTAAAAAAATTTAAAAGTTAGAGAGGCCATGACTCCTATTGGTCCACCCTCTCCACCTTAAGGAGAAGGGATGTGACTTAATTATTAGTGGGTATCAAAAAATATAAAATTTTAATTCAATTCGAGAGAATTGAAGTAAAAATAACTTTAATAGTGAAAAAACTAAAGTACACTTCACTTGTTAATTTTATCTGAGATATAGAATTATTAGTTGTTAATTTTCTTACTTCACTTATTAATTTATCAATATAAATTATAATTTATGCTTCACTTGTTATGAATTATTTTCACTTCAATCCCCTTGGATTGAACTAAAATTTTATATTTTTTAAAATCTACTAATAATCAAGTCACATTTCTAACCCTTAGTTAAAATTCTCCTAGCTAAAAAAATCCATTATTGATAATACATTGAAGTATGAGTAAGTTCATTCCAAAAAAAAAAGTATGACTAAGAATGTGTTTTTAAAAATATTATTTAATAATCAAACATTCAAAACCATAGCAAATATACTCAAGATTCGAAAACAGTTTAAAAAAAAATGAAAACCAACCTGGTTTTCCAACTGCTGCTATTTTTTCATCACAGTGCTATCTAATAATAAAATAGATTTAGACGCTATAGTTTGAATTTGGAAAGTTAACGTGTCATGTTTTAATTTAATTTTAAATTTTTATTGCTTTCATGGCCTATCTAAAAATTATAATATATATGTATGTATGTATGTTGGTATAAAGAATTTAAATAATTCACACTTAATATATAGGGCCCAAATTCAATAAGGGCATGTGTAGCTCAACGTGCGGTTGAATTTTTTAAAATAAAAGACCAAGGCAATGTAGAGTGACAAGAATCGAGCTTATCTACATCAGATATCTGAAGTGCCAGAAGCTAGTTGAGACAGTTTTTTTTTTTTATTGCTTTTTCATTCAATGGTTAATTTCTCATAATTTGATGAATCAAAATTCAAACGGGTTTGTTTTCCATGAGAAGACACCTATATATAATATAAAAAAATGACTCAGGTTGATGTAAGGCAGTACCTTCTAAATTTTGAAGGAGGACAAGCTATTGCGTACATGAAAACATGTCTGCTACCCACCAAAACCATGTTTGGTGGGCTGCTTCCTTGAAAACCGAGTTTTGATGAGTAGATGAGCATATGGCAAATTTAGATTTATTAAACAAAGTTTCCCTGTGACCAAGCTAATGCTCACAAACTAAAATCAAGCACTGGCTTTGGCTTCTGCTGAATCTTTTTTCAGAAATGGTTTTGTGGTCCAAAATCCAGCAGCAGTATTCAATGAATGAACCAATGAGCCTCTTTCACTGTCCCTCTGTCCTCTGTCTTTTAGTTTTAACTCCAACCACTACCTAAAATCTCCAGAAACCATAACTACACTGGTGATTCATTTGCAGAAGAATCAACCTCAACGCCCACCAACACTGTTCTTTATCACACCTTACACCTATTATCATGACATGACAAAATAAGCTAAATGGTGAATAATATGAATAATTTTTCATGAAATACTTGTATTGTCATTATTATATTACACGTGACGATAAAGGGCGGGAGAGAAGTGGGAGTTAAACTTATTGGTGTGATAATGCGTGATGGTATTGCAGGCCATTGAAATGAATCTGACGATAGCAACACAGAGCAGAGCAAGCTGGCAATTATGCCAAGCCACGTGATGAGACTGGTGATGTTTACAATATTCTGTGTCAGATTCGACACTTTTATAATCCCTGTAGGAAAAAGAAAACAAAACAACAGTGCAACAACGCGAACAAACGTGGCCATTTTTTTTCTCTATTCCTTTCTCTGTTCCATAAGCATTCTTGTAATAATAATAATAAAAAAAAAAAAGCAGAGTTTGCCTTGCTTAGCTTCAACTAGCTGCAACAAACAACAAACAAATCAAAATCGTTTGTTGCAGCGACTACATATATATATGCTGACATTCCTGGGGCTCCGGTGCATTCTGTTCCGAAGTATGGTCACGTTTCTGACTTAAGTTCCAAGGCACGCACCATCTTCATATTCAACCATCATACTATAGCAGAGTGTTGAAGCAAGCCCTTGTTTTTTACCCATCTTTTTCTCATATCTTTGTCGGTAAAAATAACATTACTTTTTTTTCATCTGTCTGGTTTCCGTATGTTACGTCCATATACGTGTATGTATAGTTCTTGAATTAAAATATCTCGAGGGATGGCTTTTTTGTGAATGACTCTTTGGATACACACACAGCTAAGAGATCTAAAGAAAGCAACAGTCACTCAACTAGTTCACCATATTCGTCTTGTTGCTTTCTGTCGTTTAGTGACTACTTCAAAGAAACACTCACACCGACGGCCATCTCAATCCATTGGCCTGTTTTTCTCCCTTTTTATTTCAATTATTGGGGTGATAATCTATTCATTTAATTAATATTTTTTTTATATTCTGGGTGTTAATTCAGGGAATTCTTCTATCATATGATCAGTACCTTAAAGTTCTAACCACAGATTGTCATCTATCATGATATCATCATCTTCAAGCTCAGAAGTTTTCCGTCCATGAGTGTAGAAGAAAATTGACTTCACCAACGAACTTCTCGTGACCATTTATAGTATATCATGTGTCTCTACAGTAGATCAACGAGGATGGGCTGAAGAGATGCGTTAGTGGGCCCCTCTTCTTGGAACATCCACTTTGGTCCCCCATGCTGGTTGTTACCCAAAAAAATTATGTACCAAGTACCTAAATGCCTGGTGTTTCACCCCATTCCTCCAAAGTTGTCTTTTGGAGAGGTAAGATTACCCACAATATCCAAGGAAACAGTTCCCAAACCAAACTGGCCATTTGTATTGTAACAAAAATAGTGTAGCTATACAAGTGTCTGGTGCCCACAATGCTGGACCAAACAGAAATGTTTTCTAATCTAAAGTTTCAATGGCGAGTGGCACCAGCAAGTACATAAATTGATGTTAACATATACAGAGGAAGAATTGTGGTTCATCCCTGAACCTCAGCTTTTAACAAAATAGATGTTAACATCTATTTTATGTTTTAACAAAAACCTTCGCTTCGAGGAGCCAGGTAAACCAATTCAGGAGACAAGGAAGAATTAGATCTGCTACAGAAATGCCCCCCCTTCCTACGCGTTCAGCTAATGGCAATCAAAATTTTTATCTCGCTCATGGGTGAAGAAAAGAATCCCTGAAGCAGCATAGAGTTAAGGAAAAAGAAAAACCAATTGTGTGCCTTCTTGATCAGACCAACTCAAACTGTGCTCTCAAAAGAAACCTGGAAATGGGCTAAATGCCTAGGCTTTGGATTAGATGCAGTACCAAGGCTCTGAAGCAATTTTACCACATCAGCAGCATCATCGAGAAAATACTTGGCCTTGCTAGGCTTCTGGCCAACAGTGCAGGCAAAGATCTCTGGAGCAACTGGCAATGATGGACAAGAGATCGTCCTTAGTATGCTCTCAAACATGTCTTCGTCAGACCTATCATCTCCAATGCACATAACAAAATCTGGCGGATCCCCATCATTGACCATAGTCATAAGAACCTTTTCAGCTACCAAGCCTTTGCTTACTCCCTGAATAGAGGAAAAACAAGACTTGAATAAGGTCATTCCAGCTTCCGATATAAATAGAGAAAGAATTCAAGGGTTAGGGAGGAATAAAAAAATTTCGCACCGGTGGCTTAACTTCAACAATATGTTGACCCCTCTTAACAACAGCTGGTTCATTAGCAAGCACACTTTCAAGGTGACTCAACAATTCTTTGGCTTGGCAAGAACCAAAATCAGGGTCTGCATCTTGATGATGCCAAACCAATGCACTTTCCTTAATTTCAATATTAGATCCATCAGTTGCCTCTGTGTATAACCTCATTATGGGTTCCACGACATTTTTCCAATCAAGGTCAGCAGACAGGTGACTTATTTCCCATTGGGAGGAACTACTCCACCTGCAGATAAAAGGGGAATTTTTTTTAGAGTGGGTGTAAAGGACAATAAAAAGTAAATCGCAATAATCTTTCCAGCATTCAAATGACATACCTTAAGAAGTGCCCATGTTCAGCAGCAAGTCCCAGCAATTTGCATGAAGCAAACCAATCACTCAAAGAATCTCTTCCCCTCCCACTAACAATGAACACAGTGTTCTTGGTGTCACTACACAAAGTATTCAGGACGGATATGACTTCGTGGCTGGGGATTTTATTTATGGAAGATTGTGCCACGACAGTACCATCATAATCAAGAAATATGGCCCTTCTATTGGTTCTCTTATATGCTGAAACAATGTGATCAATAGACAACTTCCTAAAACCAGGAGAGAGAGAAACTACTCTGAACCCTAGGCCCAGACCAAATTCCCAGCACCTTTTGGTGTAATGATCTTTGCATGCTCTCTCCAAATCCTGCATAAAGCTACGAGCCCAATAAGCCACATCATGGGAGCTGACATACCGATAATGCTTCTCGTGCCGCAATTTCTTCTCTGAATCATGCATTGTAATTGCCAGATTCAAAGCTTCAGCAACAGCATCTATATCCCAGGGGTTAACCCTAATTGCTCCGCTTAAGGAAGGTGAACAACCAATGAACTCAGACACAACAAGCATGCTTGTACGAGAAGAATCATTTTTTCTACCGAATGCTTCATCCAGTTTTGAAGTTCCTTGTCTGCAGACAACATATTTGTAAGGGACTAAGTTCATGCCATCCCTCACAGCATTGACAATGCAACATTCTGCCACAGCATAATAGGCACTCTTCTCAAAACGAGGAACAGGCCGATCAATGAGAATAACTGGTTGATAATGAGGTGAACCATAAGTACTGTTAATCCTCTGGGCAATTAAATATGTCTCCTTCTTTGCTTCCTGAACATCCTTCCCAGAACCCCTGGCAGGATTCACAATTTGAACTAGTACAATCTTTTCCAGCAAATCTGGATGCTGGTGCAGCAGCTGCTCTAGAGCTAGTAGCTTCAAGCTGATGCCCTTAAAAATATCCATATCATCAATACCAAGAATCACTTTCCTGCCCTTGAACTCTTCCTGGATTTCTCTTATTTTAGCAGATGTAGAAGAAAGATCTAGCACAGATTCAAGCCTACCAATGTGAATGCCTACAGGCAAAATCTTGATAAATATAGTGCGGCCAAAATAATCAATTCCTATATGTCCCCGCTTGGATTCATAGTCCAGACCCAGCATTCTACTGCAGCAAGATAGGAAGTGACGAGCATAATCAAATGTGTGAAAACCAATTAAGTCAGAATTCAGCAATCCCCTGAGAATTTCATCTCGTACTGGCAAGGTTCGGTAAATTTCAGACGAAGGGAAAGGACTGTGAAGGAAGAAGCCAAGTTTAACTCTATTAAATCTCTTCCTCAGAAATGTAGGCAACACCATCAGGTGATAGTCATGAACCCAGACAAAATCATCATCAGGATTAATTATTTCCATAACCTTATCTGCAAATATTTTGTTAGCAGAAACATAGGCACGCCATAGTGTGCAGTCAAAGCGGTCACCATGATCTGGGCACATAGGTAGCATGTAATGAAAGAGAGGCCACAGCTGCTGCTTACAAAAGCCAAGATAAAACTTTCTCTGGAGATCATGAGGTAGAAAAGTAGGAACACAATTGAAGTTCTCCATCAATTTCTGAGCAACTTCTTCCTGCTCACAAGACTCTATTTCAACCTTGAGGGACCCCACATAGATCACCTCAGTATCAGAAGAAAACCCATCTTTTAGTTGTAATAAAATTGAATCCTCATCCAAGCTGAAGCACCATTTCGAAGTTTGCAGGTCCCTTTTAGAATGCAAAGGCAGCATGTTTGCCACAATAATTTTCCGCTCTCTACACCCAGAAGAGCTGACATCTGAATCCCCATCATTACAACCCTGACGATCCAGTTCTGAAATAATTCCTGGAACTGTAACAATCCTTGGAAGAGTTCTTAGGGTTTGAGGAACAGCCAATAAGTCTCCACTTGCTAAGTCTAGGAGATTAGCAAATGATCTTGATGCCATGGCCAGTTGTAGGGAAACTTCTCTTAAATATCTTTCTTCTTCCTAATAACACATGACAAAAAAACACAAATTTATTAAGGACCCTTCAGAGAGTTTTTCAATGAACTCCAACTAACAAATGACAAGGGCATTATGCATTGCCAATTGAACGAACAAACAAATATGCAGATATTATCTATCATTATGCTCATTGCGACTGCACATCTTCATAGCTCAGATCTGTAGAGGTTTGAACAGATTACCCATACTCTGGCTATTAACTGATAATAGCATTTTACTTTTGGATAAAAAGCAAACTAGTTGATGGAATATAAGTCCCTTGAGCATTTGGCAAAATGCAGAAGACATGGAAGATGCACCACCGATATGACAGCTACTAAACAAGAAGCACCAGAAGATGACAATAGTTTTGATAGATGAAAATGATATTAGGTCACTGGTCACCAGCAATTCAAGTAGGGATGCTGCCTTTACATTTACAGCGCACAGATTTATGTGCAGTAAAGTTCAACTCATGTTAACAAGGTTTATCGTAATTGAAGTCAGAGAGATATTTGTCATACAAGCTACTTGTCCCCCCCAATTCCCCAAAGAAAAAGCTAATGTTACATGAGGGCAAAATATAGCTTTCCATCAAAGTGAACGTTTTTGCATGGGTCAAAATGGGGTTAACAGTTTACACAACTGACAGATAAGCATAGCACCTGCTCAATATGAACATCAAAGAAAAAATTTTGACATTCTAGGCAAGAAATCAGGCTAGTTCAATATCGTAGATACGACTTTGATAAAGACAATTAAAACCCCCTCAGGTCAAATAGGGACGTTACGAAAGCACTTCCAGGTTTATGGTGCACCAAACACTTTCCATTCTGTTGTGAAAGATATCTCCCATCTTGATATAAATCACAAATTGACACGAAAAATGCATTGACTTTGATAACCAATTATGCCATCATATCACTAAAGTATCAATATGCAGGACTCATAAGAGATTATTCTCACAGATAGTTGACACTGTCACCAGCACATATTCAACTCAATTCTGTGGCATTGATTCGACAGTTGAAAACTGTGTCTACGGCTAAACCTTAGAAGTCTACTTAAAGGCCGAAAAAAAAAAGGGTAAAAACTACAAAAGAAAGTTACTATTTGACGACAGGGAAATTATGTAAATATTGCAAAAGAAGTCAAATTACATTGCGAAATGCTAGGAACCCTATTTTATCATAACATCCTAATCCTAACTTCTATTATGCCTGGCGTGTTGAAATGACATGTCAACTCTAAAGGCCTTAAGGTCCAAAAGTAGGTTTAGAAATAGAAACAAAACGACAAAGATCGAAGAGTAGTATGGAATCACTGACAGCAAAGAGCTTGAAGCCACATCTAGCCCGACAAAATCATATGGCCAAGCAGTTACGCGATTTCCTATTCATAATTGTTCAAACGTGACAACATCGTTCTGTTGTTAAACTTCAGTCATCTCTTCAACAACAATTTTCCAGCAAGCTTTTTTGTTCTAAAAAAGGCAGATAAAGCGAGAATCCAGGGCATGATCGTGTGACAGTGTGACAAATGAGAAATAAAAGAGGACAGAAATATCCGAAGAACTCAAAATCATAGCATGTCGATATGTAAATCTGCTCCACCAAAACGAAAACAAAGATATCCAAATTTCGGGCTTCACATATTAGTTCCCGACACCCGACTAAAACCTTATACGCAAGTGAAAATAGGAGTTGAGACTCGTACCTTCAGCAAATTCAAGCTCTTATCACATTACCAAACTTCTCCAACGCTTGATCATCAACTCCCTGCCAAAACGTCAAAGTCAAGCCACAATAGTCTAAAGCGGAAGAACACCGCAAAACTATCAACTATACAAACACCAAAGCGGACTTCAAATCCTAAACATCGCAAACAAAAACCACTTGGTTGCCAAGAAAACTCTCAAGGGGGGAAAAATGAAAGGTTCAACAACCAAAGACACAAACAAACGATTAGAAAAAGAAAACCGCAGCCCCAAATAAAACATAGCCTGCGAAAACTTCACAGAACTAGCGAGAATTCAATGACAGGCCGGAGACCCAGAAAAGAAAAACAGGCACTCAGGAAATCACAAGTTCAAAGGCTAACCTTGCCTGACATCGACGATGAGGTTCAGGATAGCTTCAATGGGAATATCACAAATGATGGGAGAAAAAGGGGGTGTGAGAAATGAAGGCTGCTTTGCCTTCTGGACATGGAAAAGAGAAGTTGAGAAGAATGCGAATGAAAGAAGAAAGAATAAACAGAACCGTAAGAGCGAGATTTTTAATATTTGGAAACACTACGGCCTTGTGGATAGAGTTTTTCTTTGTTTTATTTTTTTTTCTTTTTCAAAATATGTTTCTTTCTGGTTGGCAAGTTGGAAAGTGTAAGACTACGGATAAACTCGGATCTTTACTGCAGTTTGCTTTTCTAACCACGGTTTGTTTTCCGGAATCCTTTCCATGTGCATTAACCATTTTACCCTTTTCTTGTATATAAAATTTTGAATATTCTTTATTTTAATTAGGGGCTTTTTACACGCTTAACTTTCTGGGTCTAAACTTCCCCTGTTAGGTTTTAAATTGAATTTTTTATTATCATGTAACTCCAAAATATAAATTTGTAAAAAAAATTAATATAAAGCGTGACTATATATGAATTTTTTTATTTATTTTATGTATATGTGATACAATTTTATTATAGAAAAAAAATAAAAATCAAGTAATTTCATTTATTTTGTTTTTAATTTTTTATTAATACATTTATACATACATTTTCTTAAAAAAATGATAATAAAATCTCTTTAAAATGTATAAATGACATTTTGAACAAAATATCATAATTTCTCTGAAGTTTCTAAAATTTTTCTCTCATTAATGAATTTATTTAAATTATCAAATTATTCTTATTGAAAATAAATAATTTATAAGTTTTATTTAAATATTCACAATTTTTATTCTTATATTCTCAACAACGTAATAGCAAATCATAATTTTACATGTTAATTCCTTATTTATTGTTGTATTATTATGAATATAAGAAAGAAAAGTTATAAATATTTAAACAAAACTTGTAAATGATTTATTTTAACAAGAGTAATTTAGTAATTTACATGAATTCATTAATGACAAAAAAGTTTCTAAAAACTTAAAGAAATTATGACATTTCAAGAGATCAAATCATCATTTATACATTTCAAATAGATTTTATTGTCATTTTTTCCTTTCTTAAAAATAATAAAAATAAAAATAACTACAAAATTGTAAATTTATAAATATTAAAATAAAAAACAAAGTTACATATTTTTTTGGAAATATTACAATTATCAAAATTTAAACATAACAAATATTTTAGACAATCGAAATTATTAGAATAGAATTCTAATTACAACCTCATAATGCTAGGAATTCTGAATTTTATTGAGTGACTTGGTAGACAAAATATAATTCATACCAAGACCGCATAGATTGAGGCCGGGCTAGTATCTCGTTAAAAATCTTATCTTTTTTATTGGGGATTGAGTATTTTAATGCAAGTTGGGAAGTTGAGCTCTTTTTTTTTGTCAATTAGTAGAGCTCATTTTTATTAAGGTGCGTATCCCATACCAAGTGCATGTGACACGGAGGGTAATAGTTTGAGTTCTCTGATTTTAGAGTTTAATTTTTAAAAATGTATATGAAAAAACATTATTTAAAATAGAATAATTCTTATATGACACTTGAATTTTTTAAAAGATTAGTCTCACGATTATTGGCTGTAGGAATGCCTTGGGCAATAAAAAAGGACACCTAATCCTACAACCATATGAAATGTATTCATTTATTTAATTATTATTTTATATTTTATTACTATTATTAATTTATCCATCAATGGTGATATGCTTAATTATTTTAATAAACAGCCTAGGCTTCATGATTATTATCCATCCATAAATAATTCAAAACTTGCAGTCAATTTCACAGAACCCGAGGAGTGGTCCTTCCAAGATTTTTTTTTTTAAATACTTATATAGTCTAATAGTATTATAACCCCTTGTCAACTAAGCATCTTTGAACTTTTTTCAGAAAAATAAAATGTACTCGTATAATTAAAATTAAATAATGATATATCTAATTAGCATATGCAGGGTTAGATTAATATTTGGTTGCATGCACTATCAGTGGCCTGAAAAAATAATGGATTTTTGAAATCACGAAAAGCCTCATATTATGAGAATTAAATAATGGTTCGCTAGAATAGTTAACCATCTTAAGTATATTTAATTACACATGTTGAGTTTCATTTTTGTGGAGAAAGAAAGTGTCGTTTTAATTAGATGGCTCTCACCACGCGTGAAGTGCTTACTTGATTTAGCACTGCAGCTAATATATATATATATATATATATATATATTCGCTAGTAAACATGACAGCTATATTTAGGATATGAAGCTGGACTTTAAAAAGGAAAAAAAAACAACAAATGATTGAATCATTCAAAATTTTATATTTTGATTGTGGAATCGCAATATGTTTTTTTTTATCTCCCAAGTTTTT